TGTGTTTATACTTGTTCTTTGCTATGGACTATTTCATAAAAGATTTGATATACATTTCAGCAAAATGTAGTCTGGAGTATAGTGATTTTGTGTGTGTGTGAGAGAGATAAGCTAGTTTGGTCAATATATTAAATGCTATTCATGTCTTGTACTGATTTTTTGCCTGCTTGTTCTTTTATTTTCTGACAGTGTTTTAAAATCTCCAATTATGAGCACAAATTTGTCTATTTCTATCAACTTTTGTTTTATTTATTCACAGTTAATGTTACTTGCATGACTTTATTTGCATATAAACTTAAGAATGTTAGAATGAAATATTCTTAAACATCTCAGTGCGTATCTTTTGACATAGTAATCCCACTCATAGGAATTCATGATGCTAATATACTCACACAGATGAACAGAATTGCATGTAAAAGGACAAATTCACACAGGTACATAAGATTATATGTACAAGGACAAGTTGTCTTGATGATTCTTATTACAAAATATAACTGCCTTTTTCTTTACTTTCTCAAGGGTTGTTATACTAACACAGCTATCTTATGCTTAGTATTTGCACAAAATACTTTTGTTCTTTTTTCATTTTTAACTTCTATATTTTTGTATTTAAGATGTACTTATTGCAAATTCCATAATATGCTTTGCATTTTTCATCAAATTTTAAAATATCAGGGTTTTAGCTGAAATATTTAGTTTATTTCTATTCAATATAATTTATAAGTTTATGATTAGCCTATCATACATACATACATTGTTTTCTGCTATACCTCATGTTTTTTTTTTCCTTTATTATTTTTTATCTGTCTTCTTTTGTGATAACTTTACTGTTCTACTTCATCATATTTATCACCTCTTAGGTATGTGTTTCTCATTAATGTATACCAGAGGGGTTAAAATGTGTACCTTTAATCTATACCTACCTACTTTGCTTTAACACTATGCCATTTTATGTATAATGTAAGTCCCTTTCGGCAATTTAATTCCATTTGTTACCTTGCTGTCCATTCTGTTCTTACTCTCATGTCTCTTACTTCATATCACTATAATATGTTGCTTTTATTTTTGCTTCAAAAGATGATTTAATGGAAAGGAATTTAGTAAAGAAAATCAACAATATAGGGTCCTCCTGGCAATGCAACGGGTCAAAGGTCTGTGGCAGACCTCTCCTGACCCATCTGCTGCTCCCATCAGCAGTGTATTTCAGTACATCTGCCTGTTCTACTCCCCACTCTGTCTCTGATGAATCCTCTCAACCCCCACACCCCTGGCATGTACCCCAGTTTTGTATGCATAAATAAATCTTTAAAAAGAAGAAAAGGGCCCTCCCTGGTGGCGCAGCAGGTTAAAGCACAGCACTGAGAATCTAAAGCCACTTCTGCATGAGTTCGATCCCCGCCTGCCCTGGAGGTGACCACATGGCGTGGCAGACCTCTCCTGACCCGCCTGCTACTCCCCTCAGAGGTGTACTGCGTTGATGTGCCTGTTCTGCTCCCCACTCTGTCTCTGGTGAATTCTCTCACCCTCCGCATCTCTGGCCTGTACCCCAGTTCTGTATAAATAAATAAATAAATAAATCTTAAAAAAAAAGAAGAAGAAATTAATATGTTTACCTATCTCTTTTACCATTTTTATTGAACTTCCCTCCATATTAGAGATCTGTATTTCACCAGACATTATCTTCCTTCTGGCCCAGTGTACTAATCATTAATTACACAGTGGATATTTTCTTTCAGCTTAAAGAAATTCCTCTTGTATTTCTTGTTGGCAAAAATTATTACGGCTTTTATTTTGTAAGATATTTTTGCTCAATATAAAAATTCCGTCTTGACAGATTTTCCTTTTAGCACTCTAACATACCATATTTTTATCATCTGACCTTGTTCTGATGAGTAGTCAGTGATCACAAGTTATCCTATGATATACTGAGATGTTATTTTCTTAGTATAGATTCTATTTTAAGTTTGTTAGGAATTTATTTTATTAAATAAAAAATTTTTGAGGTACCATTCATTTACAATACTACATAATTTGAGGAATACAACTACTTGACTCACCCACATCCAAAGTTTTAGTGCCATCACACTATCAAATTTACTTCCTCTATCTCTTGAATCATTTCTACTTTCCCTTTCTCTCTGGAAAGCACCCTATTTTTTCACAGAGTTTGAGTTATTTTTGTATTGATTTGTTAGTTCATTTGCTTTGGTCATTTATACTTTATATGTGAAATAAACCACCTGGTAATTGTCTTTTACTTTCTGAGCTGTTTCATCTAGCACAATCATTTCAAGTTCAATTCATATTTTTGCAAAAGACCATCTTTCATTTTTTGAAATGGCTGAGCATATTCCATTGAGTAAGCATCCTATAATTTCTCTTAACTGAACATTTTAGATCTGTGCATTGATAGTTTAAATGAAACATTTAAAAATTGAAATGTTTAAAAATATTCCTTTAGTTATTTTTCTTCCTCCCACTTCTAGGGTTCATTTATGTTATATTGCTTGATAATGATCATTCTGACTTTTCCTTTTTTTTTGGTAAGTAAAGTACTTTAGTTGAGTCTTTCTGTCCTGCCTTTAAATCTTATAATCCTTTCTTCTGCAGTATATCAAATTCAACAAAATGTATTTTTCATATATTGTATTTTTCAATTTTAAGATTCTCATTTGGCTCTGGCACATCTTTCCAGAATTTTCTCCTCTGCTTATTACACATACTTATGTTCTCCTATAATTTTGTATCATAATTATAATATTTTAATAAACCCATTCTAATTGCAAATATGGATCCTTTTTAGACCTTTTATTGAAGATTTTTGTCCCTTTTATGGGATACATTTCCTGCTTATTGTTTCTTAAAGATCTATGCATTTAAGTATATAAAAACTGGCATACAGGCTAGAGGTGTGGGGGATGAAAGGGTTCACCAAAGACAGAGGCGGGTACAAAACAAGCAGATCAACCAAAACATACTGTTGAGGGGAAAAGCATGTGGCACAAGAGGCAGGATATGCTATGTCATGTGGGTCACCTCCCTGGCCAGGGATTGAACTCACACTGCAGTGGCTGAGGACAGCCTCATAGTGCTATGCTTTAACCCTTCTCACCACTAGGGAGGGATCCATTTCCTGCTTATTAGTATGCTTGTTAGTTTTTAATTTTATGCTAGATGATCTTTTATGGGGTCTTTGTTATCATGCTATCTTCTCTTGAGCTACGTTCTAACAATAGCCAATTGCTTCCATGGAGACTTATAGATTTGTCAATATAGATCTATTTCAGTTTTTCACTTGGTTGTAGGGCATGTTTTCTGTTTGAGGATGGAGCCCTTACCAATAAGGTCACCCTTTTGGAGGAAACGAAAATGCCTTCTGGGGGAAAAGCTGATTTAAGTGTATTTGTCACCTACTTTCTACTCTTTATTTCCCCACGTCTTATTTCCTCACTCTGCCTGCTTTTTGTTGGTGTCCAGAGTCTTCAAAAAGTTGTGTATTACATTTTCTCAGAGTTAAAATTGTTATTAACAAGAGGATTAGCTCACTATGAACACTTCTGCTATTAGTGCAATTGGATTTGTCATTTTGAGTTTAGTGAAGATATTTTAGAGTCAACTTTTCTAAGAGTAATTTATATCAGAAGGCAAAATCTAAAGCAAGCAAAACAAATTGGGGGATGTGAACTTTCTGATACTAACATGCAGGTGCAAGGTACTTTTGGAACAGTAAACCATGCACACATAAATAGCTGTCTGTTCAGCCCATTGACTGTATTAACTCATCCCCTAAAAATCTTCTCTCTTGCTTCTGTCTCTCTCTCTCATTGTAATTTAACCTTCTTTTGCTATCCCTGAAAAGGTAAGGCATAAATGAAAGGGATATTCTCCTCAATTCCAGAAAAAAAAGTCCTATTTACTACTTAGCACGTGTCAATCTGGTACTTGAAGATAATAATAAACACTTTCTGCCCATGGCACCTTCAATCTCTAGACTTCTTGGTCTTTCCTAGGGAAGTATCTGGCTCACATTTTGATAGGCCCTAGTTATATATTCCACATTATTGTATTTATCCAATAAACTTATAAGTTTTAAGTAAATTATTCTATTGCTCTATAATATTTGAAAAAATAAGAGAAGTAAAACCAGATGAAAGTAATCCTTATTTCCTTGTGACTTGTGTCCCCTCTTGTTTGCCTCCATTTCCCATCCCTGTAAGTAAATAATCGTTATAGGATGTAGGATTTCTAAAGTCTTATTTAAACAAATAATAGAATCAGTTAACCATTCCAAAGGTCAGTCTCTCCCCTTTGCTTCTTGAACTTGAACTTGAAGTTGAACTTGAAGAAAACTGTATAGGCTAATTTTGTATCAAAGTAAGCTCAGAGCTGTCTTTAATTCCTTAAAGCTTTATGAAAGTTACAATCATTTTCATTGAATAAAACCAAGCAGTAACTTGGAAAATGGCTTTGATGAAATTAGAGACTTAAAAGACAATAGATGCCTCACAAAGTGTATCAGGGCGCAAGGATAATACCCCATAACTTAAGGTTAACTCTTTCAGTGAACAGCGATCTCTTTGAGCTTTAGCATTAGTAGATTTGTTCTGTAGTATATAGTTAGCCAAATGGCAAGGTGTAAAGAGGATGTTACAATAGAGGATTCAAATATAAAATGTAAGTTGCTCTTTAGTCATAAGTAAGCAATATGTTTTGAAAAGATGAAGAGAAATGAAAAATTAATCAAAATAACTAAACAATTACTTCATTTAGACAGTTTACTATATCATTCAGACCTAACCTGCTTTGCCATACTTGGGACTTCTTTTTCCTATTAAAAGAAAAAACAAAAACAAAAAACTTTTCTTTAGTTGATTCAGTTTTGTTCTTACCTTTTCATTTAAAGATATTTCTTTGGAAAATAACTTATTAGTCTAAAGCTTGGTGGTTTCTAATTTCTTCCCCCAAATGAATGTTTTAAAGTAATTTTTGTCTATTTACCATGTATTAGACTCAAAGCATATTTAATACTTTTGATGTTGGTTTGACTTTATTGGTATGTTTTTGTAAAGTGCAAGATCATGACTCATATTTATGAAGGAAGGTACTTTGTACATTTGTTCATAGTAATTTTGACCCATTCTCTTTCTTGTCTGCTCTCCGTTTTCTGTTCAGACTATAATATATTACAATTACAATGACACAAATGATTCCTATCAAACCCATTGCTGTCAAAACTCCTTTCAATATAAGACTATCTCTGGAAAGCTCAGTACCAGAATTGAGGGGGGTAAACAGAGTTAGCTGGGCAATGTTAGATACAGCAGACTTCAAGGAGTTCCTGTCTATTGCTTGTATGGCCACATAAATTCTGTGGCTATCATGTGTGTCTCCATTAGGTTGGTGTTCAGATCCGTTTATGAAAAGGTTTGGTAAGAATGTGTATATCTCCTTGGTTCCAGCTTTCTGGGGATTCAGCTTTGATGTATTCACTAAAATGGCATTGTTAAAGTTATCTTGAATATTCTGTAGACTTTTACTCATTCTTATTTCATAACTGTTAGCTGAAAATAAAAGACATAAGTTACATGAATTAAAAAAGTCAAAATGTCCAGGAATAAGCATAGACAGAACTACACAGTGAAAAAACTAAAATACTACATAAAAACTCATATTAAAATCTGCACAAGAGGACTATTGTGGTTTTTGAATAGCAATATTCAACATAATAAATATGTTATTTCTCTCTAAGTTATATTTCCCTAAGTAAATTTTACATGATTGCACTACAAGTGCTTATAGTTTTTACTAACAAGCTTATTGTAATGTTTAAATGGGAAATAAATAATAGTGGCCATGTAAGTCTAAAAGCAGCAATATGGTAGGACAAATCCCATCAGATATAAAAACACTCTAATGCTTCAATACAGTATTGACAAGTAGATAAACCAATATCTAAACATAGAACCAAATACATTCAAGAATTTAGTATATGATAGAGGTAGAATTCAAGCTAACTGGAGAAAATGAATACATCTTGATGTGTGTTTTGTGAAAATTGGGTAAAAATCTAGAAAGGAATAGAATTGATGCATACCATAGAACTTTTTGTCAAGATAAACTTCAAAGTGATCAAAAAGCTTGAAAAGAGTAAGTAATAAAAAATAAAAATAGTAACTATTTAGGAGGAAATAATGAAATAAGTCCATCATAATTTTAAAGTGGGAAAGGCCCTTCTGATTAAGACAAAGTTTGGAAGCCATAAACTAATATTTGATAAATGAAATCTTCTACATGGGAAATGAAATGAAAATATACTTGGGAAAAGTCCTCCTAAGCAAAATATAAGCATAAGTGGCATGTTTTTGTCACTTAGCATCAAAGATGAAGTTTAAGTCTATGACAACCGAATATCTCCTATTAGACTAACTCTCCAGTAGATAACAATGAAAAACAAAATTGAAGACAAAGGTCTCAGACAAAAGTATTCAGAAACTAGGGAAGGGAACCAGACTGATTGATGTTTTCTTTAATGACTAATGCTTTTCTTTGTGGAGAAACTTCCCGTACTGTAGAGGTAGCTGGAATTGAAAGCTATTTTCTGGAGAAGTCTGTGAACATGTGAGATTGCCAGAGTGGCTGAATGTTGACAGCACCATAAAGGGGACAGTCTAAATTCTGTGAATTGACTTTCAAATCATTGAAACACCTCAAATTATACATGTGTGGGCTCAGGGGGAATGAACAACTAAAAGACTGGAAAGCTGAATGAAGTTTTGTGCTATGCAGGAGTAACTGAGTTTGGAGTGAGTTAGAGGAGGTTGATAAATACATTGATTAAACATAAACTAGAAAAGTCATGCTTTATAAATAAAGATTGGATCCTAGAATTAAGGGAAATGCCTGTGGATCAAGAAAACTGCAGTAGACATATATCCTACCAAGAATAAACCTAAGATTCCTCACATTCAAGGTCATATAAGGTAAACACTAAAAAAGTTTCAAAACTCCCCAGGAGAATATAAAATATTCTAGAGTGTATAATTTGTTATCATGTAAATATGTAATTTTAAAATGCTATCCATGCGAAGAAATGGAAAATACTATGTACTGTCAAAAAAAATATCAGGAAATAAAGTCATACATGACTGAGATATGAAATGAATAAATAGAGCTTTAACCATGATGAATATGTTATAGGTCTACAGGGAAAATTAAATATAGTTAATGAAAGCATGAGAAATTTTAGGAGAGATCTAAAAACTTGAGAAAAACAAGCAAATGGAAATCCTGGGATTAAAAGAAAAATTCAGTGACAAAATATATTTGAGAGGATTAACAGTAGATTGGACACAACAGAACAAAAACCCAGCAAACTCAAACAGGAAAATCATACTAAGACATCCAGAAATAAGAGAAATTCAACTGAATTTCTCTGATTCTTAAGCTCCACTGACATTCATTTAGTGTATGTGAAAGTAACACCATATATATATATATATATATATATATATATATATATATATATATAGTGACTATATATAATACATATAATGTAAATATTATCCAATAAGGAAAGAATACAGAGAACAGAAATGTTTTGAAGATCTACTAACTGAAAATATTCCAAATTTGAACAAAAAGAACACTCCATGGATTCAGAAGGCTCAGCAATCCCTAAGCAGAATACACATGAAGAACACATAGTGAAACATCTCATGGTCAGCTAGTTGAATACTAAACATAAAGGAAAATATTTTAAATTGCCAGAGAGAAAAAAGATACTTAATACTTAGGAAAACAATAGAAGAGTGATAGCTGACCTCAGAAAAAAGTATTGGGGCCAGAAGAAAATGGAATTACCTTCAAAGAAAAACTATTGCTATAAAATTTTATATCCTGTCTTCTAAAAGTTCAGTTGAAAAGAACACTTTTTCATATAATGGAATATTGAGAGAATTTCACTCAAAGACCTGAACTACAAAGGAAATTAGGCTAGATAAAAATTCAGATCTATAGAAAAAGGAAACAAGCGACTGAAGACTTCAAATATAAAACTACAATACTTCTTAGCAGTATAGAATTATTTCTAAGTGAGACGCCTTCTGGTAAGTATAGTGATCAGGCAGAAAATTATAAGCCAAAGAAAGAGACTGCAAATTTGACAGAAGACTGGCAAAGTCCCAAGGTGTTCACTATTATTTGGCTGATAGTAACAAAATCAGTTCTCAATAAAGAAGACTGGTTCTTACAGGAATCTCAATCATGGCATCAGGCAATTAACCATTTAATGTATACAAAATGATAGCCATGTTTTGGTGAAAACAAAGATACTGGGAAAATCACCCTTTCAGAAAGGTGATTAGGCAGAGTTGCTATGTGAATCAAGAGATTATAGTGGAAAACTGAAGGCTCACATAGTCAGAGAAGGTAAAAAATAAACTTCTTCAATGTCCTCCCAAAAGGAACAAGAAAGTCCAAAAAAGAAAACTGGTTCTAGTCTCCCTAACAAGAATGATGGTGAGAAGTGGGAGAGAAAAATGTCCCAAGGTTTGCATGATTGATCTTCTAGGACTGTTTTGTAATTCTTTGAATAAATACTCGTTATCAATCTTCAGAAGACTAATCACCTCAGAAGACCATGTTCTGTAACACAGACCTGGTAGAGCTTCTGCTGACTAGATTGCTACACATAATTGATGTTTTCAATCAAGGTTTCTGCATGATTAGTGTTAGTTTACTGGGGCCTCTTCAGTCCTGTGGAGACTGACATGCTCTTATTCCCAGACTCCAGGAATATAGGACCTTAGCAATAACTCAGAGCTTTTCACAACAACCCTTTGCAGCTTTATCAGTTCTAAGCCTCCAAAGCTATTTTAGCCAACTAACTCCTAACATAGTTATTAGAAATTCTATCTTGTAGAAAAATAGATACAAAACCAAGACACCTACCCTGGCCCTGATCAAAATCTTCTCCAGGTGCTGTCCAAGACAAAGTCACCTCCTCTTCTGTTTTTACAGCTTCCAGATCAATAATTTTGCATGGTGGAAACATGTCAGGATGGGGGCCCGCTGGAACTTCCCGTGTGGAAAAGGAGCCACCTGAGCTTACTCGACTAAACACACATTTTTGCTCCTCCTCATTCAATCCCACTGATTTTCTTGGGGCATTCATTTGAATATTACCTAGGACACCAAAGAAAGAAACAGTCAAAATACCAAATTATGATTTCCTGACCAGCTTGTTTTTAACAGATTATTGAGAAGCATTTTAAAACCTTTTACTACATCATTAGAATAATTGAGTTGGTTTATACAGCAACTCATTTTTTCACCCATCTATCCATTCACTCTTAAGTATTTTGAGGGTGTATGCAATGCCAACAATCACCAACAAAATATCTCTTATGGAATTTAGAGTTTTACTAATAAACGTATTTTCAAATCGTAATATTAGCAAGAAGGAAAAAAAGCCAGGCTGCTAGGGAAAAAACCCACATTTAAATGTTTCCTAAAGGGTGAGTAGGAGGAGTCAAGCAAGGTATAGAAGTAGGAATGTCCCAAGTACAGGATACAGGTTATGTAAAAACAACCCTGACGTATGGAAGAGCTTGAGAAATCATAAAACTTAATTACAGCATGCAGAGCGGTGTGACAGGAGACAGAACAGAGGAGTTTGTGCACGACCACGTGGGCCTCATAGTAGTTTCAGAGTTTACTCCGAGGTGCTGCAGTGGAAGCAGGGAAGTGATTACATTTGCACTCTGACAGGTCATGTGGCTGGCTGCTCTCAGTAGAAGTTCTGGTTTCTATGGCAAAGCAATAAGGCCACTAAACCAGCCTTATTCAGACAAAAGAAGACAGTAGCTTGGACGGGCTGGAACAGTGGAGAAGCCAGAATTAGGCAGGCTGAAATATATTTTCAAGATAAAATCAGTAAAAGCTGGTAGTGAAATCTAATATAGAATGAGAAAGAAAGTTAGCTTCCAGGTTTCTAAAATGAGCCTCTTTAGAGGAGAAGTAGGTTAAAGAGAAAGAGATTAAAATGTAAGTTACATAGTTTATGATTCCTATAAAACGTCTAATTAAAGATGACAAAGAGCCAATGAGATGGATTCTAAGCTTTAAAGAGAGATTTTAGCTAGATTTAACAATTTTGAACTTAAGGATATGGAAGTTATAGGCATATAGATCTTAAAGTTATATGGAGCAATGCAATTATCTAATAAGGAATTTCCACTATGATAATACATAGCACTTACGGAGTGCCTGGCTCACTAGGTATCAGGTACTTACATAGGTACCTTACGATAACTACTTAATTTATCGAGCCACACTATGGGTAAGATACATTTTTAGCCCATTTTTCAAGATAATGAAACTGAAGCAAATGGCAGCAAAGCACACATACACACAGACACACACACACACAACTTGCCTAGAGTTACACAACTACTGAAAGGAAGAGCCAGGATTCAAACTCAGGCAGGGTGGGTCCAGATGGTAAGGTAAGCAGGTTGAGGTCAAGCTCTGAAACTTTCAACATTTAGAGGCACATTAAGCGTATCTGGAAAAAGCCTGATGAAATAATTGCAGAGTAGTCAGGAGCATATAGGATGACAGAAACGAGGACATGACAAAACCAGCTAACTGATACTGCTGGGGCCAGGTAAATGAGGACAGAAATGTGTCCTCTGTATATAAATGTTCTGAGGTCGGAGCAACTCCAGTAGAGTGACTTGATGTAAGCCATATTGCAACATTAAATTGGAAGTGAGACAGTATAATCAACAGATTTAGGTTAATTCAGGGAACTGGACAACAGAAACTAAAGAACAATTATATACAATACTTTTTTAATATGGGAAGTAATAAATCATATTGGACTGCTGCTCACAAGACCAGTAGAGTGACAGCAAGGAAGGGGAGTGATCACAGTCTCAATGGGATCCAGAGCAGAGCCCATGGGGACAATGGGTTTGGGGAACAGAGTGAGGCTATACAGACATAGTTGGGTCTGGACAGTTGGTGGCATGAAAATAATGTGGTTCCCATTTTTTTTTTTAATGTCATCAACTGAAAAGGAGCTCATAAAGTGAGTATTATATATAATCGGCTTGTCTAATGAAAACTTTTTTTTTCTTTGCTATAACACAGGTAAAAATCGCAGTTGACTATTAACTTCGCTAATCACACTGGATGCTAATATTTTTACCCTTTAATTCATGGGTCTTAAAAAAGATAATAGTCAGCAGCCTGCGAGCTTCTTAGTAGGAATCAGGTCTTATCCTACTATTTCCCAAGTTTCTAGGACTAAACCTGTTACTTAGTAGACCTTCAAAATTGTTTGATATATAAGTGAAAGAGAGGCTATTTATTTAGAAATGAAGTATTATATTTAGATACAAAGTCATTTCCCCAATAAAATCATGTTATCTTGCAAGAGGGTTCTCAGTGATTTTGTAGTAATCCAAATTTGCTGACAAAAATTTATGAGAGTAAATTATATTCAAAGCAACTCAAAATATCAGAAGGATAAATTCGCTCTAGCATTTTAGTTATTTTCTACTGAACAGTACATATAAAACAAAATATAGAATATGGTATGGAAAAATCCAGATGAATAGGCATGTCTAATTTAATCAGAGCTGCTGAATTAGATAAAACATACTTGTAAAGTATTAACAATTTTGGAAATGAGAATATTTTAAAATTGGTTTAGAACAGTATAGCGTAATTCAGTTTGTTATATTTTCATCATGGCTTCTCATAAGGAATTATAAAAGTTGTGTTTTAAAAAGATTTGGCATTTGGCATTTTATATTAAAAAGACAGAACATCTTCAGGAATCATTCAGCTGTCTGTAAAATCCAAACTCATATTAATTCAGAAAATCTTTTCTTGTGTAAATTGTCTGGGCTGTTTGCTTTCTTCTTTCTTGTAATTACTATCAGATTTTTGTCTCTTTCTCTTACTTAACTATCTGTAGAAGAAATACAAGAGCTGGACCCGAGAACATTCAATAAATTTTCTGTCTGTTGGTAATTCTGATAAAACAACCATAACAGGTTAAGATAATGATTAAAAGGAAAGTGGGAGAAATCTGTTATCGCTATCAAAAATAATTGAGAATTGAAGAGATACTGAACCCATTATGCATTGACTTAAGCATGTTTTGAATTTCCATCTCTCCTTCTCCCTTCTCTTTGTCTTTCTCATGCTAACACTCATGAGTATACATAGATGCATACATAGATGCATACATACCGATGATATACGTTTATACATGCATATACATTTACTGATGTTATTGTATATATATTTAATGATGCTGTTGCAGACACACATATACATTTAATGGTATTATTGAAATAACAGTAATAATGACCTTACCATTTATTATGTAACCCGGTACATACACAGCGTGACCCCCGGAGATAGACTGGGCTGGGGTGCTTGTGCTGGGAGAGTGACTGACCCGTACTTTCAAGTTATATCTGCCATTAGTGGCAAATGAGAAAAAGTACCTGGAGTAAATGCCATCATTTTTTATAACATCAGCACCTGAGAATACATATTTAAAAAAGTTCAATTATCAATACTTGTCATCACAGTTATAAATTGTATTTAATGAAGTCATTAAAAGAAACAAGATTCACTCCCTTGTTCTTCCCATTTTAGCAGATTCTATCTGGATCCTAGCTGCTTCCTAGCTATGATCAGGTAATTAAAACTCCAGTGGCTCCATAATTTCTCTCTGTGATCCCAACCTCTGAAAATTATCTAAAATAGAATGTGTTTTATCTACTTCAGTGCCAATAAAACATTTATTTGAGTCCTAATTCCCATCAATGAAAGTAACAATAGTTTTTCATAGAAACCAAACACAATTTTAAGTTTATGGTCACAGATTAAATGCTACTCAGCACCTGAGAAATATATATATATACAATTCATACAATATGAAGGGGGTTGTGAATGCCATGAAATGCTGATGTAAAAATCAAGTCTTGATAGTGTGAAATTATTTAATTTATACCTATAGCGCACACAGATTTTTTTTTTTTTTTTTTAAGAGTATAAGGGCTTGCTGACTTGGGCTTTGACAAGCTTTGCTTCTCTGCATAATGCTTTGGGAGGCATTCCAAAAGCTTGGCCAGAGTTCAAATTTTGCATTGATTTTAAAGACCAGCTTAAGATCAAACCAAGTCCATTAGTCAATATCAGGGAGGCCTACACTCCTGGACAGCAGTAAGAGGATGAGCTTAGCCCAAATGAAGAACACATTCAGTGTTCTTACACAGGTGACCCAGTGGGCAGCAGCGTGTCCAGTCCTAGTGCTGTTTCATTTCTCACACCACACACCCAGCTCTAAAACCAAGATTGAATTCTCACTTGGGTGCTGTAGAAGCCCCACTGATAGGAAGGACTGTTCATTAAAATAAGAAAAGTAGGAATGTGTCTAATTAAAAAAGCCAAGCAACTTGTTATGGTAGGTTTCAGGTTTTGTATTCATCGAGAAGGAATCAAATCTAGTTATTTAGGGGTTTAGTGATTTTTTTTTTAATTTTTTAAAAAAAATTATACAATTTTTACATCATTCTTCATTTTCATACCATGTATCCTTTACCATTTGTGTAGGGGCCCCAAGAAATCCCTCCCACCAATTCACCTGTGTGCAAGAGCTCCCCTTGTGCTCTCCCCACCCCTTTGTTGATCCAATTTCCTCTCCTCACCCCCCAAAGAGGTGTTTAGTGATTAACTATCTTTTTTGGAAGTGATAAAAGAAAACCTCTCCATACACAGTGGCTGTGGCACCTCTTTTAAACACTGAATTACAAAAATGGGAAAGAGCACTGGCTTGGATTTCTGGGGACTTGGTTTTAAGGTTTGGATTTGCCACTTAGTAACTTTGAAACCATCTCTCTGAGCCTATTTTCTTACCTAAAAATGGGGATAACATCTGACAGAGTTGGAATGATGATTATTTGAGAATGTGCATAAGATATACATTCTAAATGTTAAAGCAATTAAAAAAATTTAAAAACATCATTAATGTTTTTTAGCAGAAAAATTTCCCCATTATTATTAAGTATGAAACAGCTATGTATATGTGTGTTAAGTACTGAGGAGAAAACTAAACTTACACTTTGATGCTTGTGCAATATTTTCCATTGTTTTTTATATTAGGGTAGAAATCAAATAGATGAAATGGCTTAGAGGAATAACCATTAAACTTGTTGAGCAACTCAGGCGATCTTTTCTAAGAGAGCAGGATTTCCAGTCCAGATGGGACACAGAAATTGTTCAGTGTACATTTATGGACCATCTCAAAAAAAAAATGTGACTGTGGATAAGCAATCAGAGCATGACAGGGTCACTTGAATCTGTTTCAGGTGGCCTGGTGAAAGGACTTCCCCTGGAATCCCTCTGAGGTGGACTTGAACTATAATCCTTTAAATGAACTTTGTCTCCTAAATGTCATGCAGGATTGCCATGCTAATGGGTTGTCAAACCTAACGCTCTTGAAAAAAATTTATGTTTGAAAAAAGAGTGGAGGAATATGAATTTTTTCAGCAGTGCCAATGCTCCAACGGTTCTAATTGCCCACATATATTAAGGTGTATTGTTATTGTGCATTTAGTTTAGGAAAAGAACAAAACAGCTACTATAAAATGACAAGAGAGTATATTTTTGAAAGACAAAATAACTTAGAGTTCAAGTGCTGCCATTTGCCTGAACGCTGGGGATCACGTGGTGTGTGACGCTCAGCTCTGTCTGTGAAAAACGAGCATGGGGAAGTAGCTTTTATTCAGTTTACTTTGTTTTTTTTAGTTGTAGAAAAATCTCTATACTGATTCTGTTAGGCTTGTCAGCCAGGCCACCTTACACATCACACAAGTAAAAGGCATTGGTCCTGCCTTCTCAGCCCAGCTAGTTGGCTAACAAAGAGACTATTGTCAACTCCTGGATCCTAGGTTCATTTTCCAATTTTTTTCTTCATAATTGGATCTAAGGACACAGCCCCTGTTATCTCACCTGTTGGGCTTTCATTTGCTACTTCAATTGTCCAATCTTATTATTTCAGTGATTAGTAAAGCCTGACCCTGTGTGACTTCGCTGTAGGTGGCCAGTGTCAATGGCAAGTGAAAGCCAAGAGCTGGGTGCGAAGAGACTTCCTAACTCCCCTTAGCTCACACACAGTCATTCTGGGGTGCTCTTTTCCCGAGTTCACATTGTTTTCTTACCTGCTCCATCATCCAAAAGTCTCAGCGTTATAGGATCTGCCTTCTCTGGCTCAATGGTAGCAGTTACAGTGGCATTGAGAATGGGATAAAACCCTTTTCTCACATTTGCATAAATCATCACAGGATGGGGAAAATGAGGGCTGTCTCTTTCCACAAAGGCTTCCACAGTGGCAGGGAATGTGCCTAAGCGGGAGGCTCGGGAGGTCACTGTCACTTTCAAGGTTTGAAGAGAATGGTGAGTATTGTTCACTGTGTAGGTCCAGAGTCCTGGCTTCAAAACAAAGGCTTTTTTGTTTATCAAGTGTAAAGAGGAAAAAATACCAACCATTAATTTAATCTAACATCAGCCTGTAATTTAATTTAATCAAAACAAGAATTTTTGTTCTCATTCTGTTGATGTTTCATTTTCTGAACTACCACAAACAGTATCCGGGGAAAAAATGGATAAGGGTTAGCTAAATTCAGTATTTACATGATTTTTCAGCACAACTAACTGGTATTATTAGGTAAAGCTTTAGGAAATTAGATCCTGAATTTATTTGTGAGGGAAGATACATCTTAGTTTAGAAGATAATAGTAGTGTCCAGTTTCAAAGTACTTTGCAACCTGAACCTCTTCACTCAAAATGTTCAAGATTTTTATTCCATTTACCTGAGAAAATTACAGCAAATTAAGTAGACAATTAAAATTTATGTGGTTAACTTGGACAACAAAGCAATAGCATCCTTCTTCCCCTCTATGTCTTCCATGACCACCCCTATAACCAGAAATCCAAGCAACAAAACTCACATCAGGAACCAAGAAAAGGAATACTGCTTTTTAATAAGTCAGGATTCCTCAAGGTCTATTTTGAATAATCTACAGAAATACCATTCTTGTTAGCCTATGTTGGCTGCCTGGGTGAAACCTGCAAAGATTGTCTGGACGAAAAAAAACTTAAAACTAAAATTAGCAGATATTTGTTCATTTGATAAAACAGTACATTAATTCCTTATTTCCTCATTCATAATGCTGCCTGGAAATAAAGAGGAGGAACATAAGTGAGCAGGAAGAAGAAGAGAGAAAATGAGTTACGTTGTGACTCACTGTAGAAAGTTATCACTGATCTATACCCAACCTGTTTTTTTTTTTTTTGGGGGGGGATTCGTGTGTTGAACCATTTTCCTGGGAAGCTACACCAGACTAAGAAATTAGGCAAAGGCAGCAAAAAGTAGATAGGGTGTTCCCAGTGCTGCAATTATGAGAAGAACATGATGAGTTGAGAAAAAAGTAAAGGAGAAGCAGAACATAGGGTTTGGGGGAGAAAGGTTAAGAAATAAGCTTGGGCAGAATTGAGAAATGAAGGACTCGGTATGTATTAGCAATCATACAGATTTTGTCCAGGGACCAACAAAGAATTCTGAGTAGGGGACAGGTTTGCTCAGGATCATGCCTCAGGAGGATCAATGTATAAGGGATGAAGATGGATGGGAAAGGTGGCTAGCCTGCAGGCTGGGAAGCTGCCAAGGCTGCCAGCAGTGACCTGCAAGGAAGTGGGGGGGTGTAGGAAGACGGGGGTATACCCCCAGGGGAATGGTGTTGAGGAGAGACTACAGTCAGGTGGTGCAAAAGTAGGTCTCATCGGCCCTCCCTGGTGGCGCAGCGGGTTAAAGCACTGCACTAAGAAGCCAAAGCCACTTCTGCATGAGTTCGATCCCCGCCTGCCCTGGAGGAGATCCACATGGTGTGGCAGACCTCTCCTGACCCGCCCGCTGCTCCCCTCAGCAGTGTACTTCGTTGATCTGCCTGTTCTGCTCCCCACTCTGTCCCTGGTGAATCCTCTCACCCTCCATATCTCTGGCCTGTACCCCAGTTCTGTACAAATAAATAAATCTTTAAAAAAAAAAAAAAAGTAGGTCTCATCAATTCACTAAACTGCTTAAAGCCTTCAGTGGTTTCTGTCACATTTAGCATTCAAGCTCCTACTCTCTTTACTGGCACTGGAAGCCCTTCCTGGCTTACCGCCTCATCTGTTTAGAACCATTACTTCCTCTTTTTTCCTTCTGCTAGATCTGTACCTTACTTATATACTGCTGGGCAGTTTCCATGTTGTAGTTTTACAGAGAGTCATATTCTTCTTCTCTGGCCCTTTCTATGTACTGCTTCCTCTGCCCAGAATGACACTCACACCTCTTTTATCTTACTTATTTCCATTCTGATGTCTGCATTTCTAGGAAGCATTCTCCCTTTCCCTATGCCGGCATCCTCCAGTATGCTCCTATTCCTCCCTGTTTATTCCTATCATGGCATTTTATTGTACAGCATATAGGGCAAGATTCAACAGACAATAGACACTCAAAAGCATGTGTATTGCCTTTAGTCATATTATAAATTCTAGTAGAGGTTTTTTCCTAAGCATATAGATAACTATGAATTGTGTAAAGAAGGAAATAAAATTATTTGTACTATCTTTACACTGTTGAAGCCTCTGGCATCCATTATGTAAATTTTGAACATAACCGAATATTTCCTCTTAAATTTTTTATGTTCACAAAATACCTCCTAATAAAAATAAAGCAAATTTTGATACACTTGAACAAGATTTCCTTTACACAATGCATTTGATTATGTGATTCAACTGAAAATCATGTACTTGACTAAGTGTCATTATGAACAAGCTCACACCTACCTTAGCAGTTTCTGGAATCCAGAGTCGAGCAGACCGAAAAGCTAGATTGGTGATAAAATCATTTGTGTGGTATTTTCTTCCACTAGGATCAGATAAGAGAATCTCAGGGGGGCCACTAGTCTGCCATGTGACTAGAAAGGTCGTGTCATTGCCCACACTGTTATCCACAGTCACTGTATTTTTCAGTTGATGGTGAGGTTTAACATTCTCAGCTGTACTTTCAAGCTGTTCAAGAGAATATATATGTGACAGTTTCTAATGCATGCAAAATCACTCCATCTCTTTTTCACTCTTTTGAAACTTAATAATTGGCAAAAATAAAAATCATTTAATTCTGACATTCTATATTTCTATCACTTTTAATGTTGTTTCACCTAAGCAAAATATAGAAGTATAGTAAATACAAATGTTTTGGTTATAACTGGTACAAATGTCACTTCACTGTTCATTATTAAAAGATCTTACTTGGTTCATTCTTAACTCTCATCCAAATCTATATTAACTTCAGGTTAGCAATCATAGTCCCTAGCTACTTTTGATTGAGAATTTGTTTAAACAGTTCAATTTGTATATAATCTGTACAGGTACTTGTATGTATTTTAATAAGAAATGAAACACTGGGTTTCAGGGGGGTATTAAATCATTTAGACATTCACAGTAAGCCATGTGCAGGATCATGCCTCGGTCTATATATGTGTTTGTGTGTATATGTATGGTATGTGTAACACACACAGACTACAAACAGATGTCTAGCACTGAATTAACTGCTTTCCATTATTATTTCATTTATGAAATAGTGAGATGACAGTATTGTTATCCTTATTTCACAGATGGGACAAATGAGACTTAGAGAAATAATTTGTCCAAGGTCTCAGCAAGGAAATGGAACTGGATTAAAACCCAGGTTAGCTGACATGAGAGCCTTTGCCTTTCACTATTGTTTAGTCTGTAAATAACTGCAATTCTGAATTCATGAAATGTACATATGAGTTACACTTTGTAAAACCGATCAAACTTGGAAAACATAAAATTTATTGGTGTATGACAGCAATGACACCGAAGATTATTTGCACAAATCTATTTAACACATGTTTGTGAACTGCTGACTGCTTTGCTCATTCTGTGCTGGGCTCTGAGCTGGTGAAGGGGATTTAGAAGTAGCTTTTTCCCTCAGTGGAGGGGGGATAATGCAGGTCACCAAGTTTGGAACCATAAAACACATGGGAGTCACGTGAATTATTTTTTGTTTTTCTACTCTTTAATATTTGTTTTTATTCATTATAAATAAAAAAGCCATCACTGTGTTAAAGGATTATTCAGAAGAACCCATAGTAGTAAAATCTATATTTTCATTTATAACTCACATGATCGTAATTGCCTTTTAGTGTACACAGAATCCTCATGTTAAATATTTCCCAAGAATAATTTACTGACCTCATTGTTTACTTGAAGTTACTTACATGGCAGTTTCACTTACCTTCTGTGAGGAAACACAGATAAAATTCTGTCCAAAATAGGCCCTCCCTGGTGACACAACAGGTTAGGACTCAGCACTTCCAGCTGGTCACAACCACTTCAGTGCCAGTTCTATCCCCCGCCCAGGAGATGACCACATGATGTGGCAGACTTCTCCTGACCCGCCCGCTGCTCCCCTCAGCAGTGTACTTCGTCAGTCTGCCTGTTCTGCTCCCTACTCTGTCTGGTGATGCCTCTCACTACCCCTGTACCTCTGGCTTGTACCCCAGTTCTGTATGAATAAATAAAAAATTCTGATCAAAATAGTATTCAGTTATGGTACAAAACAGCTTTAAAGTATTCAGAAAAAAGTTGACCCTTTTAAATAATCACTTGATTTGAGGATGTTTTTGTTAGCAAAATTAAGTAAATGGTGGTAGCAGAGATAATATTTAGAAACTTTTAGAACTTAAAGAAACAGTTGATACTTTTCACCCAAAGCAAAAGTTTCAGTTTTTTTTTTAAAGATTTTATTTATTTATTCATACAGAACCGGGGTACAGACCAGAGATGCGGAGGGTGAGAGAATTCACCAGGGTCAGAGTGGGAACAGGAACAGGCAGATCGACGAAGTACACTGCTGAGGGGAGCAGCGGGCGGGTCAGGAGAGGTCTGCCACACCATATGGTCTCCTCTGGGGCAGGCGGGGATTGAACTCCTGTGGAAGTGGCTTAAGCTTCTTAGTGCAGTGCTTTAACCCACTGCGCCACCAGGGAGGGCCAGTTTCAGAGTTATTTAAGGAAGCAAAACCAAAATGGATTCTGATCCATGAAAAATTATTATAGAACTAAAACTAAATACAATTTTCTGACTTTTATTCTGGGCCTTATCTCCACCTCATCCCTACTCCCATGCCTACTTTTGTTTTTTAATTTTTAAAATTATATTCATTATATCTTCCTTTCTTCTTGTACAATATATGGGTTCCCTGTGAAAGTCCCACCACCAATTCACCCATGCACCATCACTGGAGTCCCTTGTGCTTTTTCCACCCCTGTCTCCATGCCTATGTTGAGTCAGGAGGAAAGAATAAGCTCTGCTTAGAAACTTTGAAACCTCAAGGAGCAATTCCAAAAACTAACTCATAGGGCTGCGATATTCTTCCATTTGCTGTACTACATCCCTGCTCTGGTGACACCAAGAAACTCATTAGAGGCTTTTTGTGCAAAACAGTATTTTTTTCCTCACATGTTTCATTACATATTCAAAAAGTTAATGGGGAAGTTAGCCCAGTCATGTATTTTCCTTTCCCCTAGCCCACCACTTCTGTAAGTATAATATGAAAAAGATTCTGACCTGAAAGCTTTGTTGAAAAATGTCTCCAGTTCCAGAGGAAATTCTACTGAAAGCATCAATCATGCTATTGGAATTTGATATGTCTGGAACAAAGAATTTTAAGCCACCTGAAATACATGATGGGGAGGTTAATGTTTAAAATGTATAAAATAGCAAAAGTAATATTAAACATTAAGTCTTGCCAACATCTCTGCTGCATAAGAAGATTCATTGGAGGGAAAAGGAGCTTATTTGCTTGTCTTTCCTTGCTGTACTATGTGACCACATGGTCAGAGGTCTAATGGTTTTGTTTGTTCTATTCACAGCTGTAGTATCGACCTGGTACATGATAAAAGTCAATAAGTATTTATTGAATAATCTTGTAATGACGGTAATTTCTAGATAATACAGGTTGTTACATATCTTCATTGCTATCGATTTACATTTTGAAAACTTTGTTCTCAAAATCAATAAAGCCAGCTTGGGATTTTAAAACCAGAATACCATATTTTATTGACTATAAGAAATAAAAGGTAAAATTATTCTGTACTTAATTTCAAGTCAACAAAAATTTAATCTTAAACATTTTTTTTTTTCTAGCTCCATGATTATTCATTCTGAGGCAGGTTTAACAAAGAAATTACAAACATGATGTTTTCATTGGATGTAGAAAAGCAATACCTTCTTGGGAAAATGTTTTAAAAATCAGCAAAATGTTGGCAGGTTTCAGCTCAAGTAAGTCATTCACTCTGTTAACATAGTCTGAGTTTCATGATTGTGCTTTCAATATTCCGGTTAAAAAAATGCTTCAAATTTTGTTTTTAGAAATGTATTTACCTGTAAGATGTGATAATTCCTCCAGGTTTTCAACCACAGATGAACCCAGGGCAATGGAATGAATGGTTGAACCACTACTGAGCACAGTGAGTAAGCAGTTGCCAATATACTCATCACCTCCACTTGTCACTAATATCATCACAGAGCCATAGGCTTTTCCATTCAGCTTTTCAACCACCTGGACAGACATTATGTTATTTGGGAGCAAATGTAATGCAAATAGTCTTATTGGACAGAATTCATTGTCATTCCAATTCAGTGGGGATGAATCTCTTCTAGGTCCTCTGGAGCATTTAATCCTCAACTCATCCATCACATCATTTATCACCCTACATGCCATGACTGAGTTTTTGGGAACAGGGACTCTTCCTATTTGAGTCACCTTGACATGCCTTAGTTTAGAACAGTTCCTGTCTTAGAGGCTGTGATGGGACACTATTGTTTTAGGTTTTGCCTCTCAGATATAGTGACTGACCAGGAAGAGGCCTAGAGCTATGGTTTTCAGCCTTGCTTACATAATAGAATCATGGGGAGATTTAAACACTTTTAACTTCCAGGCTATGACCCAAAGCAATTAAATCAGGATCTCTAAATTAAAGCCAGACATCAGGATTTTTAGTCTCTAGGTGATTTCAATGGGTAGCCAAGGTTGAGAAGTTCTTGTCTTTAGGGAACAACAACTGCAGTTAGTACATTGTCTTTGCTACCAGACACTTGAAGTGTGACTGCATTCTAGGCGTCACATCCAAACTAAGCTGATTTAGATATACTCTACCATAATGAAACAATGTCTCTGGCCATATCTGATTGTTTGTTTGGGGTCTATAATTATAGGCAGGAATCAGACATGCTAATGTTGACTGGAAAATCCAAGAATAACAAAGGGCACAGCCAGGACACTTCCAGAATGGATAAGGTCAGTGTTCACAATTGTCCAGTTAATGTGAAGTCTCCCAGTCTTCACCATTGTTTTAATTTATTAATCATCCTTCAGCAAGCACTTACTAAGAAATTGTTAAATATCAGGTACTTTGCTAGTTGCAGGGTTTTTAGTGATGAAGGCATTTTTATCTATAAAAGAAAATTTTCATTACTTGTCTGTGACTGAGTCCATTATTACCACACTATACAGATTGTCCCAAATTAGAAGTTACCACAGATACAAAATAAGAGAAAGGAGAGTTATTGTGAACCAAGACTTGGGTGCTCTACGGTACCTCAAATCCTTTCTTAAGTCCTGAGCAGATGCTGATTTCTGCTTCAGTTGACACCGTAGTAGGCAGATATGAAACCAACAGTTTTCGGTCATCATCACTGTTAATTTGGTGTAGTTGGGCTCTGATCTGTCCTTTGCTATTGAAAGTCACAATGCCCACAAAGGTTTGAGTTTCAACAATTTGCATCAAATAAAATTCTGCTGCTTGTTGCAGTCGAAGGAGTCTGTCAGCCTATGTCCCAAAAAGAATGGCAAGGGGATGAGGTGGAAGACAGTAATAACATTTGATTGGTAGGCAAAAGCATGAAAGTAACTTAATTAGAAAATATCTCTGTTAATTCTATAGAGGTACTGGATTATACTTTTTTGAGGTGTAGAGTTGTACAAAGCTAGGATATTATACAATTAAATGCAGGTTCAGAAATGACTTCTTTTCAGGGAGGGAGGAGTGATTTGAAAACCTGCCCCCAACAAATTACTTATAATTCCACCTGTAAGAACCTATATCCCTATTATTTCTTTCCAACTCAGAATTCAAGTTCTGTGGAACCCATTGAGATGTGTTTTGTAGCTTTTCTTTCAAAATAAAGTCTGAGTAACAGAGGATATTGCAAAGAGACCTTATAATAGAGAGGAAGATTAGTTCTAGGTTAGTGCCTGTATTGTCACTAACCTCTGTTACCATGGTCATCTGAGACTGAGCACTTTGTAAAGTTGGATGATAAAAACTTTCTTATAGTTAGATTAGATTTAATAATTTAATAATCTGAGGAACAACTAAGAACATGTATGATATACCTTTATACTTTAAAGTGCTAGTCAAGCATAAAGTAGTATTTGTGACAAGGTTTGGGCAGATGATGCTACTAATGAATTCACTATGATCACTTGTTTTGAAGGTGATAAGAACAGTAGGCTGGGCAGACAACCAATATATTAACTCTGAATCCATATTTGAGAAGATCATGTTCTAGTCACTTGAGACAAATACGATTATGAAATTATCCAGATACTGAATGAATCATGGGGCTTTGATCATATTTTTGATCATATTTCACAGTTGAGTCCCAAAAAAGCAAATTTTCCAGAACTATTGATCCAGAGAAGGCAAGAGGATAAATTCTCCCTTTGGACCATTAGGGCAATAAAATAGCAATGTTGCTTATGAACCAAAAATTCGTATTCATTATCTCATTTATTCCCCCTCATCAACCCTATGAAATAGATGGCACTGTCCTGTTAAATGTTTAAAACTGGCCTTCTGGTGTAAAAGAGATATCCATATTTGTTTGCAATTGACTCCCACCACACTAATTTCAATTTGTCAATGTGATAACACTAATTGCAGTGTTGGGAAGTGATTTGTAATAGCAGATCCATGTAGATAATATAGGTGAGAAATAACCTCAGGCACAGAGATTTGGGATCAGCAGATAATTTCTGTAAAGAGCCAAAAAATAAATATTTTAGGCTTGTTGGACCATCAGTTTTCTGTGCAACAATTCACTTTTACTATTTTAACATGAAAACAGCCACATATATATTACATATATATGTATATACATACACACACACACACAAATAAATATTGCTGTGTGCAATAAATCTGTATGGACACAGAAATCTGAATTTCATGTACTTTGTACTTGTCATTGATTATTATTATTCTTTTGATTTTTCTGTAAATTTTGTAAAAAGTAACCCCTTTTAGCTCATGGTCTATGCAAAAATAGGTAGTGGGCCAAACTTAATCGACAGACTGTAGTTTACTTTTTCAGAACATAAAAACTATCAAAAAATAGTAGTGGAGAAATATTTGACAGTGATGAGTATCATATATTTATTATGTGAGTTTTTATATATTTCATTTAATTATGTCTACATAGTTTAATTTTTAGTAATGGCTGTGTTTTATACCTGACTTTCAGATTTTTAAAAAATTAAACAATTCTTATGAGGCAGGATGAGCTGATTCTGAAGTATTAAAGTAGATAAATTATCCCTATTTTACAAATAAGAAAACTGAGTTGCAGAAAGGTTATTTTGCTCATGGTTACACAGAGAGTAAATTTAAGCTGCCAGAATTTAAAGCCTATTTGCCTGATATCAAAGGCTAAGGCTTTAACTACTGTCAGAACTCTAGAACTTTCTAGAGTGAATTTCTGGAAGGCTTCACGATTATTGCCTGATGACTGAGATTCAGTTTTCTGTTCACAATGGCATATAAAATGTGCACAAAACATCTATACACACTCACTGCAAACTCAGTCTTTTGCTTCAGACATGCATATCTACCAGTGAGTGCAATTTGATTAGATAGGACCCTTTCATTATGTATCAGAGTTTTGAAAAAAGGTCTGACTAAGAGAAGTTTGCCATCAACAAAAATGAGGATTAGGAATTATCTGTGGATTTTGTTTGTCTTAATTTCTGGGCCACATTTTGAATTTCTTTCTCATGCCCCAAGGAGAGATAATGTCCATGACTATTCTCAACCCTTGTGCTCTTCCTCTTCTGCCCTTACCTTATGAAAAAAAAAAAAATTAAAACTGATAGAAAAAAATGATGAATGATTTATAACCATTTTAGTTCAAAATCTCACCTCTGCCATCTTGTTGGAGACATCCAACACCAGACAAACCACTTTGTCACCTGCCTGTACAAGGGAAAATATGGGCGGAGGTGGAAATTCAGTCCCAGTCATGGGAAAGCTATGGCCAAAGTCAGTAGAGTCTGTGATTACATCCCAGGTGCTTCTGAGGCTGCACATTTGGTTCTGCAGGTTTGGAGCTTCTTGGTTGTGGGTAGTTGCATTACAAAATTCAACCACCTAGATAGAAAACAAAACCTAACATTGTAAACATACCTCTCACGGTTAACGAACAAAAATGCAGGAAAGGTGAGATGGAACATGGGAAATGAGGAATCTATAGTGATGCCCTTCTTTATTTCAAGATGAGTTTAAAGGTCCTCTCTGGTGGCCTACAGGATTAATCCCAGCACTGTCACTACTATGGTCTAAGTCTGATCCCCTGGACAGGAAGATGACCCACATGCTACAGACCTCTCCTGTCTCACCTGCTGTTCCCCTTATCAGTGTATTTCAGTAAATCCACCTGTTCTGCTCCCTACTCTGTCTCTGGTGAATCCTCTCACCCCTGCACCTCTGGTCTACATACCAGTTCTACCCCACAAAAAATAAATAAAAATAAAAACAAAAAGTTGAAAAAAAGAATGACAATTAATAAACCTTGCTACCCTCTGCTTGAAACACTGGCACCCTTTCATTACCAATAAACTATATAAGTTTATTTCACTTGGATAATACAGGGAAAACCTTGTGTGTGTGTGTGTGTGTGTGTGTATGAATATATATGTATGTGTGTGTATATATATATTATTTTGCTTTGAAGACTATGATATATACAAATATTCAAAGCAAAATAATCTCCACTTTCCTTAATTTAATATTGTGTTAAAGAAAACACCTCAGAAGATGTTATCTTGGCTGCCCCTTCTTTGGATTCATACCACACCTTTAATTATTCATTAATCACTCAAGAAATATCAAATGATCTAGTTCAAATATTGATTTCTGCAATAGCAGGATAAGGAAAAAGCCAACTTAAATTTACTTCCTGATTTGCACTATCTGGAAATGTAGATAAAACTCATTTAATAAAAATTAACCTGTGCCAGCACCACTTTTAAAAGTTAAGTTTGCATTTTGAAGTCATATGTCACCATAAATTTCCAGTGACTTATTCCTACAAAGAGTAGATGCATCCTGCTTATGGAGAAATGAACACTTTGCCCTAGAAAAAGTCTTATAGACTTTAGAGCCATCTCTAATTTTATAAAAGAGGAAGCTGAAGCTTAGAAAATTTAGTAATTGCTGAAGGACACAACTTTCTTAGTAGCATGGATAGCATAGGAGTAGAACCTATTTTTTTCTTGATGTTTATATTTAACACATTCTCAAAGTTCACAACTGTGGTTAGGAGTTTATAGAACTTTTTTGACTGGATATCAGTGAAAGATAATACCAAGAAACGAGTAATTTGAATGAAATTAGATTGTCTTCAGATATTAAAGCTATAAATTAAACATAGTGGATCAGACAAGACATATAAAAATATCACCTTTAAGTTGATTCCTAGTAATAACTACAACAGACTAGAAAAAAGATAGTCATCTAAAAAGAGAGCATGTCAATTCAAAGCATGGTCATCTATGGAAACAAAGAGCAAACTTCTCAGAGGCACATGGCCACAGTATTCCAGCCCCAAGGAAAGATGACCACAGGCATGATTTAGCTTTCTGTGAAGATAAAAGGAGATACTCATGAAGGCTGATGCCACCAGAACTCTGTGTCTCCAAACTCTCTCCTTTCTGACCCCATGCTCTCAGAGCAAGTTTCTGGCAGTTCCATGCTGCTTTCTTCAGAGGGAATGAACTCTCCAGCAGTTAAAATATTAGATCCTCATGAAAGAATATTCTTTTCAAAAAAAATTTTTTTAAATAATGTTCTGGATTTGTGTACAGTCTCTTGTTAGTGTAGAATACTAACAGGTTAAATGACTTAATACCTGCAAAGCTAAGGTTAGTGGACCTCCATGGCAACACCTAACTTTTCTTTTTATGCTTTAGTGACAATACATGTGTAGGAATTAGAAAGTGGGCTTAAAGAGTAGTTTGAAACTTCAAATAGGTACAATATAATCATGTGTTATATCACTTGTATTAACTTGGTACACTTTCCTAGGAAAGGATAAAGGAATATTAACATATGAGTAATTTGTTTTGAGATCTCCAATGCTTCCTTTATTAAATCACCTTCCCTGAGAAGCAATAATCATTTTTCCAAAAGAATCTATTTTTAGAGACCATCTTTGGGGATTGTGGTGGGGGGGGGGAGATCTTAGCTATTTTTTTTTCAAAAGGTCTAACCTATTTTTAGAGACCATCTTCCAGGGGAGGAGGTGTCTTAGCTGTTTTTTAATCTAAAATAAAAACTAGGTGAACTCTAAGATACCCCAAGCTGTAAAATGTAGTGAATCTTATTTGTATGTTTAAATACCTAAAACATATCAGACTACCTTGGGAAAAGATGGATAAGTTTGGAATTCCAAGAACATACTTACAGAAGATAAACTTTGCATGAACATTATTGATGCAGTTGCATTTTGGGTGCTATTATATATAAATGTGCATCCTTCTTTGAAAAGCTTAGTAATAGCACAGTTTTCCTGGGAACAGCGGCCTTTTTCACACACAAAAGTGCCTGTGATGTTAGATGAACACCTGAAAATAGAGAAACACATCTATTTTAAATACTTATTTTTCTTCTTCATAAAACAGTTTGTTGCAAGTCTTTCTGGGTATACATAAAACCTTAAAAATCTTAAAGTTCATTTATTTAGAAATGTGTTCTTCTGTATGCTAAAGTGTTTGCTATTTATGAGACTTTCTATATCCCAACAACTTTACCAAATAACAAGGTCAATAACTAGAAGTCAATATGACCTTCTAGATCTCCAAGGAAGAGAATGAACATCATTCATCATTCATTTGACTCAGGTCATCATCTCTGACCTAAGTCAGAGATCTTGGAGTTCATATTTATACATCAGAGGAAGAATAAAATGAGTACATAATGATAAAATACAGAAGGACTCCTTACTAAATGAGCAATCTCAAATGCTGTCAACAGGAATATGAAACAATACAACATTTAGGAGAGGAATCAGTCTCCATCCAAATTACAGCTGAGGGTACCCTTGTCCCAGAGGAGTCTTGGAAACACTTCAGTAGATCTGCTTGCAAACGCAAGTAATCATACATATGGCATGATGACCTGTAGTATTATTGTTGATGTAAAAAGATTGGGAAAAATCCACTTGGCTGATAGTAGGGAACTGATTAAAAATAAGGTACTTCCACACAATAGAATACAATGCACTTTAAAAAAAATTAAAAAAAATATCTTCACATTTATTTGAATTTACCTGAGGAAATTTGAAAAAATAAGTAAGAAACTAATAAAAACCTAGAGGTGATGCAAGATAATAGGTTGAAGCCATGGCAATAGTGAGCTATGTGAGTATAATCTTTATCTTGTTTTGATATTTGAAACAGATATATTTACCAGTTTTTAGATGCAAGAAAATCTGAAAACTGAAAGAATCTCCTCCTCAGCTGTTGTTTTAGCTGCCGTTATCAACTTTATTTATTTATTTATTTATTTAAAGATTTATTTATTTATGCATGCAGACTGGGGTACAGGCCAGAGATGAGAGGGTGATGAGAGGATTCACCCGAGACAGAGTGGGGAGCAGAACAGGCAGATCAACAAAGTACACTGCTGAGGGGAGCAGCGGGCGGGTCAGGAGAGGTCTGCAGTGCCATGTGGTCACCTCTGGGGCAGGCGGGGATGAACTCATGCGGAAGTGGCTTTAGCTTCTTAGTGCAGTGCTTTAACCCACTGCGCCACCAAGGAGGGCCCTATCAACTTTATTTTAAAGTTAAAAACATAAATCTTAAAGGTAAGGAAAAATCACTAACCTTGTTACTTTAACTTGATTACGCTCATTGATGTAGAATGGTTTCTCATTGTTATATTCATCAAACACACCCCATCGGAGATGAGCCCATTCGTGCACAAACACTCTGCCTGTAGAAAAAAGGAGCTTCTGCTTTTTTTTTTTTTTTTAGTTCCTAAAATCTCTGTATGGGGTCTTAATCAGTGAAATTGTAACATTGTTTGACCACATATACAGCCTTGCATTACTTAACAATGAGATAACCTTCTGAGAAATGTGTCAGGCAGTTTTGTCATTGTGGGCAAGTCACAGAGCATAATTACACAAACCTAGAATAATATAAACAACTCCCCTCCTAGGCTAAATGATAAAGCCCAGTGGGACCACCCATCCTATATTTGTCCTTCAGGCCTGTTAAGTCATTCATTGTTGTACTCATTCCAAAGGGTTGAAGTGCAGTTCTCTCTTCAGCTTGCCCCTTCCCCAACCTATGTCCATCTGTTTCTACCTTATCTCCTATGAACATAAAAGAGGCAATATGAAAATGTTTAGTCCTGTAAACACAAGCCAGCAACTCAATGATTGTACATCTACTTAAAACTAGTAAAGAGTCCCATATCCTTGCATTTTTCCATGGAAGCTTTCTAACAGACTAGTTTCATATAGGCCTTTAATTTCAGAATTTGGAGAAGAGGAAAGCAGCATATGTGAGTGCTATGGACTGTATGTTTGTCCCCCAAATTCATGTGTTGAAATCCTAACACCCAATGGGGTAGTAGTAGGAGGTGAGGACTTTGGCTGATGGTTAGGACATGAGGATATAGCCATCATCAAGAAAGCTAAAGCCCTTAGATGAGAGACTCCAAGAAATCCCCTTCCTCTTTACACCATATAAGGACTCAGAATGTCCAGTGTACCAGGAAGTGGTTCTTCGTCAGATAGCTAATCTACCAGAGCTTTATCTTGGACTTCCCAGCCTCCAAAACTGTGAGAAACAAATTTCTGTTGTTTATAAGCTATCCAGTGTATGGTATTCTGCCAGAGCTGTCAACAGACCAAAACACAAAGCAAAAAAGTTTTCCTATTCTTTAGTCTGTTGTCCAAGCTTACTTACTTTTTGTTGTAGGTAATTTTCCCATTTATAGCAATGCTTGAACCCAGGGGCTTGTGGGGGGAGGAAGGAACATCGTGGTTGGTGGTCTTTTCTATTTTATCCCTGATTCTCCATGTTTATATTTAACTCCAATCCTTGGCTTATGGCAACCATCAGATCTCTATAAGTCTTGTATTTCCTTCAATTGCCAGATTAAAACCGATTTCCCCCAAATAGAAGCTTTCTAGATTAATGCCCTTCCTAAAATGTACTTTTACATTCTCTAAATTATTCTTAATTCTTGAAACCTAGGAAGTATTTTCTGTGCTGAATCAGCCTGTGACATATTGCACAATTTTTGGATCTGGCAACAAAGAAAGGGAGGGCACTGTCTGGGCTGAAAGTAGTAAGGAAAGTCCATGCCTACTTGTGGAATTTACAAACTCTGGTGAAGTCATATATTTGTGCAGACTTATCAGCACCCCATAGTTATCAGGAAAAAAGCTTTTCTTATAAGTATGCTTTATAGAACATACCACTCTACTTCCTGCTAACAATAGAGGATAACACAATCTATTCAAATTTAATTGGGGGTAAAAGTGAAAACATCACTTAAAAGGCACTACAGAATGTGAATATCAAAATTAAAAATGTTAAGAATGAGAGAGCTCTTGAATGATGTTTTCTTCCTCATATCACATCTGACAAATGTGTCCCGACACCTAGTCTTCAGCATTTCCCCCAAACTGCAGGCAGCCATCAGCCTGGGCCTTCCCACCAGCATCAGCAACTGCTTCTCTATATCTATAATTGAGTCTATATCTGTGTACCAGACTCAAGTATGGCACACAGGCAGTTCTTATTGTCCTAATTTCTGTCTCTCTTGTCCACATGTCATTGCCTCCCTCTTACTCATCTCATCTCATGTGAGGAGATTAGTTGTTCTGATATCCAGTTTCTCTCTCAACATTCTGAGAGAACCAGATTAACTGCACAGTCAGATTTACCTTTAAAGCACAGCTTCAGTGGTGTCACTCCTGTGCTTACAAGTCAGTGTCAGTTCTCTCCTCACACATTCTACACATCAGTGGAGGCTACTGTGTGCATCTTTCAAACTTGCTCTGTATTTTTTCACCGCCACAATTTTGTTCATATTCTTCTTGCTATTCTCACTTTCTACCCATTCATTGAAATGATATTCAGTCTGAAGGATCCTCCCTTTGAGAAAAGACCTCCTTTTCTTTAAATATTTGTTTATTTATGCATATAGAACTGGGGTACAGGCCAGAGGTACAGGGGCAGTGAGAGGCTTCACAGTGGGAGCAGAACAGGCAGATCGATGAAGTACACTGCTGAGAGGAGCAGCAGGTGAGACAGGAGACATCTGCCGGACCATGTGGATCACTTCCCTGACTGGGGATTAAACTTGCACTGAAGTGGCTGTGGCTAGCTTGCAGTGTTGCATCCTAACCCGTTGTGCCTCCAGAGAGGGCCCAAAAAGGTCCCCTTTTCTGCCCAACTCAAAATATGTTGTCCTTTCTTACTGTACTCATGGTCTGTGCCACTAGTTAGACACTTAACTCTTTCTGCTCACTTTGCCCCTCAGCTTTTCCTGGATACATGGTCTCATCCAAATGGCAAATCCTTGACATGTTTCAGGCTCTCTGAGTTGCTTTTAACACTAACCACAGAATATTGTAAAGAGTATTGCTCAAGATCTTTCTCTGTTGGCCACACTTACCTCGTGATCCATAGCCAGCTGTTAAACCATCATTTAGTAAAAATTTAGATGTGAAATGAATGTATTTTCCTTCTTTTCCACACCCTCTGTATTGTAGGGTATATGGATCATCTCCACGTGGCCCGCACCAGTCAGTCACTACGACATTTGCCTGAATTAAAAGAAATGTCTTATAATAGTCTAGATGCCAACAGTGATGTTGGTAACTAGGCATATACATTTGTTAAAACTTTGCAATGTACACTTAAGATTTGTACATTTTATTGTTTAAATTGTTTGCCAATCACAAAATTTTTAAACTGCCTAATGGATGGAGTTTTAAATCCACTCACAACTAAATATCAGGAAAATTATTTAGCACCTTCAAAAATGTGTATTTTTTAGAATTTAGAAAAAATTTATGGAGCCTTTTACTTAGTCTTCCCAATTACCAGATTTAAGGTTTGTCAGAAGTCTGTACAATAACATTCTGACATTATAAAACACTATAAATATAGTAAAAACATATGGAGAAATGTTAAGAACATTTATATATCATTCAAAAGTTCACTGGAAAATGTTATGAACTTTTATGAATGACTTTCTGTGAGTTTATTCATCAGTGCAAAACAATAGGACATGTCTTACTCTTTTATTCACATAACTAATACATCAACAACATATCATTCTATTGAAGTTATACTTAATTTTACCTTGATCACTTTCAATTACTAATGCTGAAACACAATATTTTAAGCTCAAAACTAAAGTGGATATCTATGTAAGTAACCATTAGAGAATCAATTTTATATACAATGTGGTTTATTTTTAGGAATACAAAATAACATGCCTTTAGAAATTAAAGATGCTAACTTTTTCTTGGGAACACCAAAGCTGGTGTTGGAACACCAGGTCTATAAATAAATAAATAAATATGTAATTATCACTATATTTCTGTATGTGTAATGTGAGTGTGTGTGTACAAACACTGAGGAGTAGAGGAAGTAGTACTTCATTTTTATTTCCTGTTGTTTCTACATTGTTTCATTTTTTTCACAATGAGCTTGAATTACTTTTATAATAATATTTATTTTTAGGAAAATAGGAATTCAAATAAAGGACTTGGCAAGGCAATGCCAACAAAAGGAATCAATGAGACATAAATTTGAATTGTGGCTCTGTAATTTAACAGTTTTTGACTTAGGAAAAAACTCATACCTGATTTAAGCCTCAGATCTCTTAATTATAATGACAACAAATATTAGTGTGTGAGAATAAGTCATAAAGATGGAATTCCTAACACTCACTTGAGACTTAATAGCTGCCAGATTTCTTTCCTAGCTCTCTCCTAGCTCCATGACCAGGTACTTTCAAAATGCTCTTAACTAATCACAAATCAAATGCATTTAAAAGCCTTTTACTTCAAGGTATAGGATTGCTATCTGTATTGCTACACCATTCCACTATTGAAAGAGTGACTCCAAAGGGGAGCTAAGAATTTAAATAGTAAGAGGAGCCACTTTGGCCACTGTTATTTCCTATACTATAAACCTGGAGGAGGCCCTGCGGAACAATTTTTAGTATTTGGGTTGGGAAAGAATTTGTAAAACTTCAATATATGCAGATTATGTGATATTTGTATGTGATTTTATATATGTGTGTACACACTACCCTAAATGTTACACCCTTCCCCCCAAAAACCTGTAAGAAATAATAAATGAATACAATAAAGTGGCAGGCTACAATCTGTTGTGTTTCCATATACAAACAATGAAAGCAGAAAAATAAGTAATGAAAATGATATCATTTATGATTGCAGGAAAAAGAAAAAATTATAAATAAGTTTACCCAAGGAAGTAAAGGATGTGTACACTGAAAACCACAAGACACTGTTGAAATAAACTGAAGAAGACACACGAAACTGGTAAGACATTCCATGCTCATGGACTGGAAGAATAAATATTTCAAAATTGTCATTTTATCTAAAGCAATATGCAGATTAAACAAAATCCCCATTAAGATCCCCAGGGTAATTTTTTAAAGAAATAGGACCAAAATATCCTAAAATTTCTATGGAACCACAAATGACTTCAAATATCCAAAACAAATCTGAGAAGAAAAGAACAAAAATGAAGTTATTGTGCTCCCTAATTTCAAACTGTACTACAAAGCTACAATAGTCAAAACTGTGGTATTAGAACAAAACCAGGCACACAGTAGCCCAGAAATAAAGCCACAGGTGTATGTACAATTAATTTACTACCAAAAAAAAAAAAAAAAAAACCACAACACACACAATAGCATTGAATAAATAAAGGAGAGTATCTTTGATAAGATAATTGTGCTGGGAAAACTGGAAGCCACATGTAAAAAAATAAAATTAAAATGTACTATCTTATAACATTATATTAAAATTAATTCAAAATGAATTAAAGACTTAAATGTAAGACCTGGAACCATGGAAGAATACAAACATCATAATAAGCTCTTTTAAATAAGCTTTAGTGATATCACTGTGGATTCATCTCCAACACTGAGATAAGCAAGAAAATACTAACAAATGAGTCTGTATCAACCTAAATAGTTTCTGAACAGCAAAAGAAACCATTATTAAAATGAAAATTCAGCCCACTAAATGGAAGAAGATACTTGCAAATAGTATGTGAGATAAAGGGTTAATACCCAAATTATAAAAACAGCTTATACAAATAAAAAAATAAATAAACATACAATCCAATCACAAATCAACACCATTATAAGATTTCAACTCAGACTGTGTAGAATGGAATGGCTCTTATCAAAAAGACAGGAAATGAGTTAGCAATGATATAAAGAAAAGGAGCCCTTATTCACTGTTGGTGAGAATGTAAATTGGTGCAGCTACTGTAGAAAAGAGTTTAGAGTTTCCCAAAATCTTAAAAACAGTATAATTCCATATGATGTGGTAATCCCACTTCTGGGCATTTACCTAAAGAGTATTACAAAACTAATTTGAAAATATCTATTTACCTCTCTGTTCAATGCAACACTATTCATGAGAGCCAAGATATGGAAACAACCAAGTGCTTTGTGACAGATGAATGGGTAAAGAAGATGTGGTATATATACACAATGGAATACTACTCACCCATTAAAAAGGATAAATCTCAACCATGTGCAACAACATGGATGGACCTTGAGGGATTATGCTAAGTGAAATAAATTGGAAGAAGAAAGACAAATACCATATGATTTCACTCATTTGTGAAAAATTAAAAAACAATCCAACAGAACAGAACTTACCAAAGGGAAGGAAGGAAGAAGGAAGGAATATAATAAATCAAGGGGACTAATTACTTGATGGTAGATAATGGTTGGGTATTTTCTGAGTGAGAAATTGTACACCTGAAACCTATACAATGCTAGAAACTTATACTAGCTCATTAAAAAGAAATAAAACAGTCTGTATATTTAATATCAAATTACAAAATAAAGGAAAACTGTACCATGGCATCCCAGCACTTCT